TTTTAATTAACAACTCTATTAACTTTAAAATTTTTTAAAAAGGCTTTGTTTGACTGAATAGACGTTACTTATTGAAATAATCTTTAATTGGTTCTTTATTTAATTTTTAAAAATAAATTCTTTTCCCAATTTTTCAGCCCAATTCAATGTTTGGTCAAAAATTTTGTTCTTCTTTTGTTCCTTCATTTTCTTCAGTCATTTTTCTGCTCTATTTAATTTTTATTTTTGTTTGTTTGGCCTCTACACAAAGAAAATCTGATTGGGAAGAGGAAGTTGGAGAATTAAGGCATGAAAATAATAAAAATGGAATTGATGATGAAGATGAGGGAAGTGGGGATTCTTTTAATCCTGATGATGAAGATGATATTGGGGTGATTTTTAGTTTTATCTATTCTCATTTAACAATAGAGGCAGACCTCGTTATAAGACTCACTTTCGGGATTATAATGAAGTTTATCTTAATAGCAAGTCCCTTTTCCCCAAACAGGTGAACGTATCTTAAATATGTGTACCTAATATTTGAGGTATTTATAGTGGCGCCGACTATATATCCTTACCTCTGGATAGTAAGGTTGGCGGATCCGGATATCCGAAGATTTCCAACTATCTCTACCTCTAGATAGGCCTTTTACTCTAATAATAGCCTCCCTCTTCTTTGGAACCCCCACTACACATTACTAAATCCCCATTTTTAATAATTAATGCCCATAGAAGACCACCTTCAATCAAATCTAAATCCCTTTTTTTAAATACAACTTTATTCCTATTTTACTTTCTTTATTTTCCATAGTCTTCTGGACTTCCGCCCAAAGAATTAGATGAAACCCCAATTATTCAACAACAACAAATTAATATATCCTCCTCTTCTTCTTCTGTTGTTACCCCAACAACAACTCCCTCAACATTAATAAACACAACAACAAAAGAATATATAACAACAACAACAGCAAAACCAACAACAAAAACATATTTAAATCCCTTAACAACAACAACAAAAACAATCAAAACAACTTCTACTTACAAACCCCCAATATTCCCAACATTAACAACAACAAACATTTTGGATGAAGAACAAAAATTAATGCAAAAACAATTCCAAGCGGCGTTAATTGTTGCTAGTATTATAGCTTTAGTTTTGTTGAGTACACTGGCTATTTTGGCGTGTTTTTGCTGTTTTTGTGATAATTCGAGTAAATTTTTGTTTTTATGAAAATGGCACAGTCAAACCTCCTATCTGATACTCCAAGTGTCTAAAAAAGAATTCTAGTATCATATAATGAGAGGTAGCTTAAATAGAAGGCATTAAATAAGGGGCGTGAATCATAATAATTCGAACCTTTTTTGTTAACCAACTTATTGGCCAACCATTATCTAAAAAATGTATCTTAAATTTAGGAGAGTAGTTAACAGTAGGGGGATATCGGGGGATTAGCAACGGATTAGGAAGGGATTAGTAAAGGATTAGGAGGGGACGTCGGGGGCGGCATCCTTTGAAGCCGCTCCCAAACATCTTTTTCCTCTTTCCCCCACATCATTTTTCAGCTCTCTTCTTTCCTCTCTCTTTTCCCACTACTCCGTTTTTTCTCGCTCCCTGCTCCTAAAAGGAAAATGGGAGGAGCCAAACTTTGAATTTTGAATAAATTTAATATTTAAACATTTGAATTTTGTTCACCTCAATTTTACCATTAATTTACATTTCTTTTCTTTTTCAGAATTATTTAAAATGAATATAGAATTAATCAACTTAAATGGAGGAGATAACAACAACAATGGGGACAACAATAACAATAATAGCCAAAATTTTTTAAATTTAATTTGGAAGGGTACTTTTTAATTTTTATATATTTTTAAAATTTCAATTTAAGAACGAATTACATTAATCCTCTTCTTTATTTTTATTGTGGATATTCTACATTTGCTCTTCTTTGTCCATGCCCTTTTGAGCCGTTGAAGAAAAGAATTTTTTAATTTTCAAAAAAATCTCAAAAATATTATTACTATTATGTGATTCAAATTTTATTTTTTTATAAAAAACAATTTTATTTATTATTTCTTTTTTTCTGTGAAAATAAAAAAAAATTTTTACTTCTTTCTTTTTATTATGTTAATTAGGGGTACACAAAAAATTATTAAAAATACACACATTTTTATTTTATCATTTAACAATTATTAAACAATTTATAGGCCAAAATAAATAAAAATTCGATATTTAAGTTTAAAAAATGTCCAAATTCAATCCGTCAAATTTCAATTGGACTGTTGAAAGTAATTGCTCCTGTGAGCTCCCATTGGTCTGTATTCGCCCTATTAAGTTTAGGAATCCAGTCTTGTGTATTAATTCAGCAATTGATGTAAACGACTTAGAAAATTTTTTGAAAAAATCTCCAAATGAGCAACAAATTTCTCCTCCACAAAATTTTGAAAATTGTTCCACAGAGCAACTACTCTTTAATACAGTCACCACTCCTGAGTATAATACGACAACCACCACTCCTCAATCTTATACTCAGTATAATTTTAGTTTTTGGATGATTTATTCTTTGTTAGGTCTTATTCTTATTTTACAGGTTTTTTTGTAAATTTACTCCAAAAATGTATTTATAGTTATTTTACTGGTTCAATATTATTCTGCGAAAAATACGCAGACGTCGTGAATGTAAATTAATTCGCAAAGGTGCGACTAAATTTCAAGAGAAAACTCGAGGTATTTTTTAAAAATTTAATCTAAAAGTATTAATTAACTAGGAACTCCTACACCTAATACTCCAATTGTTCATCGTAGAGGTAGTTTAATTTTTAAGAGTAAGTAAATACTTCAAATTACAGGAGATCCTACTCCAACTGTTTCAGGTCCTAGTTTTTGTAACTAAAAATAGTTTTAAAAATACACATTTATAGAGATGACTCCTCTGAAAATTATTACTCCAACTCTTGGAGAGATGAAAAAAACACATGTGGTGACGAGTGTTTAACAGAATCTAAAAAAAACTAGATTAAAAATTAATATTATATATTAACACTTATCATATTGATATAAAATAATAAAATTTTACCTCTTGTATTTTATTTTATTAAGTTAAAAAATTTGAACAGAGCTCAACATGAGCAAACATTTTTAAGATTTTTTCTCCAACTTCCTTTTAGTGCTCCTCTTCTCAATTTTAGTTAATTATCTTTTTATGGGAGGAGCCTATTGTACCAAGCCCTAGAGTATTTAAGGAGCGAGGAATTTGTATTTCCAATCATTCATTTAGAAATTTTTTTCATTTTTCATGGAGCAAAAATCTTTAAACTCCCAAGTTTTACCTCAAGTCGAAATTGACATCTCATCTAGAGGTGTTACACTTTCCAGCACTCGTTTCACTACTTCACGCTTTGTCCCATATGATCAAACAGGAAAGTGCTGCAAGTGTAAGGGTACAGAAGTTGAGATTGATTTTGCAATAACAAAAGACGGAGTGACTCTCTGGTGTACCAGACTTAATGAAAAACGTTTTGTTCCATTTGATTGGACTTATGAGCTCCCAGGACACTGTTTCTTTAAGATTCGAAATAGAGGAAGAGTGCTTAATGTACCATATGGATCATCAACCAAGCCAGATAATCAAAGGAGTGGTAAAAGGAAGTTAGATGAATTGATTACTTGCACTCCTCCTAAACATAATTTGCCTTCTAATCTTTCTCCTCCCACCGCTCCTCTTGTGCGTACTCCTCCACCTGTTACATCTGAAACCCCGAGACCTCTTACACCTCCTGATCAAACACATTTTGACAAAGAGCTCCAACAATTCTACGATAGTTTAATGTTTGCTACTGTAGGTCTTCCTAGTTCAAAAGATAATGTTGAGAAACCAATCGAAAAAAAGACAGAAGAGAAAGAAATTAAAGATGATGATACAAATGTCCCTATATAAATACATTTATTTTTCTATTTTATAATTATAGAATTATGGAGTTACAAACATTTTCTAATAAAGATTTAAATTTTAAATTACCTTTTGGTATGATTTTGTCAGGCCCCAGCTCTAGCGGGAAGAGCTCATTTTTATTAAAATTTATATCTGAAGCGTCAGAATTAATTGAACCTAAACCAAAGAGTATACTTTATTGTTTCGGAGAAATGAGCCATAATATTCCTCTCCTTCAAAAATCAGGAGTTAATGTCTATGCAGGAGTTCCACCTGAAGAGCTAATTAAAAAATTCCCAAAACCTTTACTCCTAATTCTAGATGACTTGCTCCTTTCCATAGATGAAAAATATCTTTCGGAGCTATTTACAAAAAAATCGCACCATCAGAATTTTGCAATAATTTTTGTAACTCAAAATCTCTTCGATAAAAAAATTAAGGTTGCACGACAAAATGCTCAATATATTATACTTATGCGCTCTCCAAACTCTGCTCTTTCTATTAGAAATATAGGAGTACAACTATTTCCACGTCAACTGGATTATTTTTTAGACGCGTATAAACAAGCTACTAATATACCTTATGGATACTTACTTATCGATTTACATGCCTCATCAGATCCTAATCTAAGACTTAGGACAAACATATTTAAGGAGGACGAAGAGAAAATAATTTTTATTTCAAAATAAATTTTCATTTTAAAAAATGGTCAGTCAATTAGTTTGTGAAAATAAGGACTTTTTACGTTTGCTAGCTCATACAAAATCTGAAAGAAAAACCAAGAGGATCCTAAGACATGCAACAATAAATCAATTATTAGCAATCGTCGAAATTTGTCTAAATATTTTAAAATCACGTTTTAAACTTACTACTCGACAGAAAAACCGTTTAATCCCACACGTTGATTTTATTCGTCACATGAGCCGTACTAGGAGTGAAAGAGGAGCAAGAAAAGTTTTAAGACAAAAAGGTGGAGGAGGAGCAAGTGTTTTTGCAGCTCTTCTCACACCTGTTCTTATAGAACTGGCACGCTCTATTATATAAAAGTAAATGGTATATAAACTCAAATAGTTATTAAAATTATTTCAAAACATGGCAAACAAATTAATTCTCGTCCCCGAAGAAATTTATAGGGGACTTACTTCATCTAATTTTGGTGAACCAAATTTAGATTTTAGCAAAAAAGAAGTTGAGAAAGCTAAAAGAAAAAAAGAACATCATTCGAATAAAAATATACACTACAACCAGGAGCTAAGACGTTATTTACAATTGAGAAATGAGAGTGCAAATAGACCAGTCAAAGTTCAAATGGTTGCTAACCCTAAAGGAGCTATTATGAATACATCAGTTACTCGTCCTGCCTCAAACATTGTAGACGACGAAGATGATGATTTATGGATGAGTGATGATTTTTCTTATTCTGCGTACCCAAGAGAGCCTCCAGTTCATGCTTATAATATTGTCCCTTCACCATCTATTCCTTCTTCCTCACATCCTCCCTCTTTACCCATTAGTAGACGTAATTCTCCAACACAACCATCAACCTCTAAAGAAAATATTTTGCCCTCAAAACCTTCTAAAAGAATATCTCGTATATCTACAAAGAAAATTAAAAAAGTATCTAATAAGATTAAGAAAAAAAAGAGAACTAACGAGAAGTCTAAAGAGAAAACTGAAAAAATACCTCCTGAGATAAATACTATAATTGAAGCTCAAAATGCGCCATTAAGCTCTTCGTCTTCACCTCCACCCATTCGTATGAACCCTGTAAAGAGAAAGACAGAAGAAGTTGAAGGTCTGAAGAGAAGAAAAGTTCTAGGTATAGATGAAGATGAGAATAAAGATAATGAACAAAAGGACCAAATTTTAGAACAAAAAATATCTGCTAGAACCAAACAGAAAAAAGCATATTTAAAAAGAAAAGAAACACTTAAAAATAAAAAAAGCCCAATAGATGAATATGCACTATCACAAGCTCGCTTCAAAGATAAAATTGATAGAATTAAAAGAAAAAAGATTGCAAAAGATGGTAGATCACCTTCTCCTCCCATATCTCGTCAAAAAATAAAAAGAAAATTACAAGTCCCGTCGGAACAATTTCTAGAACATTTAAATGAAACATCCTATGCGAAAAGATGGATGCCTGTTCCACAAAAGGTATCAGAAAGAGCGGGGAAATTATGGATAAAAAAATTAAAAAGTAAAAATATAAAAATTCAATCATATAAAGTAGCTAAAAAGAAATGGGCAACAAGAAAACCAACTCAAGCAGATATAAAAGGAGTTAAAAAGAAGAATTGGGCAACAAGAAAGCCAACTCAAACGGAAATAAGTAATTTTAAACCCTCACTTTGGTAAAATGGCAGATCCAACGAAACTCTTACATTCTCTTTATAATGATCCAAACTCCCCAGCAGCATATTCAGGTGTTGATCGATTATGGTATGAGGCACGAAAAGTTATCAAAAAGTTACCGAGAAAAGTTGTGCAAGACTATTTGGAAGGACATAGGACGTATACTCTTATGCGTCCAAAAAGAATACATTTTCTCAGAAGTAAAACTATAGCAGCAGGATTCATGACTGATGTCCAAGTAGATTTGGCAGACATGCAGGCACTCTCTAGGCATAACAAAGGAAATAAATATATTCTCTTAGGGGTTGATGTTCTTTCCAAACGACTCTTTGGTGTACCAGTTAAATCAAAAAGCTCGAAGGACATGTTAGAGGCATTTAAACAACTAATTGGTCAAATGCCTATGAAACCTCATAGAATTTTCTCAGATAGAGGATTGGAGTTTAAGAATAAATTTGTAAAAGAGTATTTTGAAAAGGAGGAGATACAAAAAAATGAATCTACTCATTCGACGGTTAAAGCATCTGTAGCAGAAAGAGCTATAAGAAATGTGAAGCAAAGACTTTATAGATACTTTGCTCAAAATAAAACATTAAATTGGATTGATGTTTTAGATAAAATAATAGAAGGGATTAATAAGTCAAAGAGTAGAGTACATGGACTAAGACCAGTAGATATTAATTTCAAAAATGCTCAGGAAATATGGGAGAAAATGTACAGAGATGAGTTTTCACAGAAAAGAAATAAAGGAGCAAAATTGAAAGAAGGAGATTTTGTTCGTAAGGGTGTAGGAAAAGGAGCATTTGAAAAAGGATATATTCCAAATTGGGGGGATCAAATCCTAAATGTCAACCAAGTCCAAGACCAATTTCACCCTATTCGATATAAAATTGCTAATGATTCTGGAGATAAATTCAAAGGATATTTTTATGGAGAAGAGTTGGCTAGAGTTAAGAAAGATGCAGATACTGAGTACAGAATAGAAAAAGTTATAAGAAAGAAAAAAAGAGCAGATGGAACATACGATGTTCTTGTGAAATTTATAGGTTATCCCGAAAGGGAATGGATTCACGAAACCCAACTTGTATAAAAGGAGGGTTCATTTTATTGTATTTCCATTTCATGAATAAAAATGTCAAATAGTTTTTATGTTTGTTTGTTAAGCAATGTTTCGGATTACCCACAGAATCAACCCAATCAATTCAGGGTCCACTTACCTAAGCCCCTTTATTTCTCTGGTGATTGGGTATGTGGTGTCCATAGTATATGTTACCCATATTCTTGGCCTTCTACTATAGGTACTCTCGATGAACAATGGATTGATATTAATTTTGCTGATAATAATAAGAAGGGACAAACTATACGAATTCCAGTCCCAAAAGGGTCACATAATACACCCGAAGAAATTTTACAATTTTTGATTTCAACTTTGAGACATCAAAGTTTAGCTCTTGATAACACAGCTCTTGAAGAGTCATCTGAAGGGTTCTTTGATAAACCATCGATTATTAATAGGAGAAATAAACGCCAACATGACGAACTGCAAGACCTCACACCATATGATGAAAATGAGGAGAAGGAAGATGGTGAATCGTTAAGGTCTCTCTCTCCTTATCAGGAGGATGCTGAAGAAACATCACCACCACAAAAGGATAAAATTAATTTAACTAAGCAACCAGATGAGAAGGAAGTCCTGAAAAAAGAGGAAGAAAATAAAGAGGTGAGTGAGAAGAAAAAAGTAGAGGAAAAGAAAAAAGAGGCTGGGAAGGAAAAAGTCGAAGAAGAGAAAAAGGAGCAGGCAAGAGAGGAGCCTAAAAAGGAGGAGGAACGGAAAAATGAAAAGTTAAAAGTGGAGGAAAATAAAAAGGATGATAAGGTGGGAAAAGAGCAGCCAAAGCTGGAAAAGAAAAAAGAGGATGAGAAGGAAAAAGAGACAAAGGAAGAACAGAAAAAAGAGCTACCAAAAGATATCTTGAACGTTCTAGGAGTAGGAAAGAAAGAAGAGAAACCAGTGGAGAAACCGAAAGACTCGACAGTTTTAAGTGCCTTAGGAGTTGGAAAGAAAGAAGAGAAACCGAAAGATACGTCTGTACTAGGTGCTATAGGATTGGGAAAGAAAGAAGAGAAAAAAGAAGTTCTGAGAGAACTTTCTCCATACAAAGAAGAAGAACCATTACCTCCACCTCCTAAGAAAGAAAGAAAAGAGCAATCAAGTGATACTAGAGTAAAAGATAATGGTACACAGACACCGAGTGTTCTAAGTGCCTTAGGATTGGAAAGAAAAGAATCTTGGACTCAAACACCATCACCACTATTAGAAACTATTGGGTTAAAGCCTAAAGAAGGAAAAAAAGATGTTTTTGATATATTGCTGGGAAAGGGGAAAACACCATATACAGCTACTCTTTTGAAACAAATTATTGATTCAATATCAATTAATTATCTATCCGATTTTAAAAGATTTAAATTATCCTTTACTCATTCAAGTATTAAATATTTATCTTTTTCACCCCAATTGGGATATGTTCTTGGTTTTGCAAATACACAATTTGTACAAAATAATGAGATTGCAAAATATGCCTGTGATTTAAGAGGAGGCTTTTCAAGTTTTGCAATTTATACGAAAGGGCTTACTGAAAATATGATTGTAGGAAATTCTCTAAGTTCTCTACTCCGAATAGTTTCTGTCTCAGGAGCAATACCTGGAGAGTACCATGAGAAAATTTATGATTCTCCAATTTATGTTAAAGTGCTCCCAAGAGAAGTTAATGAAATTGAGGTTGAATTAAGAACGATGGATAATGGAAGACTTGTACCATTTGCTTATGGTACAGTAAGCATGGTGTTGATATTTAAGAAAGTGATAAATTTTTAAATGTATATAAACCCTCGTTTTATTTTGTAATTATTTTATTATTGATAAAGATGGTTCATGTTAGATTTGATACAAGTTTAGTAGGGTTTGCTGAACAGAGTGGAAGTGGTACGGAAAATTATTATTTTAAAGGAGCCTCACCATACCAGAGAGGGTATGGGCAAAGAGGAGCGGGAGTTGGAGATGTAATGAGAGGATTGTGGAGATTTTTCCTCCCTATTTTACGTAAAGTTGGGAGTACAGTATCTTCTGAGGCACTCAATACAGGACAACGTATACTTGAAAGAGTAAATGAAGGACAACCTATAAAAGAAGCTTTTATTAGTGAAGGAAAAAAAGGAGTAGACACGGTTTTAGAAAAAGGTGGTCTTCCAAAACAATTTGGGACAGGTAGAAAGAGTATAAAAGGAAAAAGAATTCCCTCACATCAAACATTTATTGTTAAGAAAAGAAAACGATCAGACGCCTTTGGTCTCTATTAGAAATGGCATTTCATAAAATAGATAAGGATAGTGTTGATTCAATTACAAGTGCTCTCGACTTTTTCCAAATTCCTCCTACAAATGTTAGTGTGTCTTCAGCGAAAGTTTTTGAAATTCTCCCTAGTAACCCTTTAACAGACACACCTTATCATTTTAAAATTCACTCAAGTGAAAATTTTATTGATCTATCTAAATGTTACCTATTCACTGAATTTCGAATCCGAAAAGAGAGTTCAACAGGTCAATATGTAAATATTACTCTTGATGAAAATGTTGCTCCTATACAAATGATAGGGAGTACATTTATTAATAATATGAGAATAAGTGTAAATGGAAGAGAAATATTCAATTCAAACTCTCTTTATGCATATAAAACTTACTTGTCACATGAATTATCCTACTCGCAAGGAGCAAAAAATTCTCATTTAAATGCAGCAGGTTATTATTATGATACACATACATCTCAAGAATCAGGTCAAAGTTTTACAGCTAGGAAAAATTTATTTGTAAATAGTCGAACAGTACAGTTTATTTCGAAACTAGATGCTGATTTATTTAATCAGCCTCAATATCTCATAAATCATTGTGAAATTGACATTGAAATATTACCCAATGAACCAAAATTTGTACTTATTGCTCCTCCTCCTCCTGCCATTCTTGGTGCTCCTACAGCTCAACTTACTAAATATCAATTTGAAATTATTAGTTGTAAACTCTATGTAAAAAAATTAGATTTAATGGATGGTCTTGCTTTAGATATCGCTAGGAGACTTGACGTTAAACCTGCTCGTTATTCTATTAGAAAAACTATGATGAAACCTTTATTTATTAGTCAAGGAAGATATGAATTCAATGCAAATCTTTTTATGGATCAAATCCCCCGTCGTATTACTTTAGGATTAGTTGCAAACTCTGACTATGTAGGGACTCAAGAGCGGAGCCCTTTCAATTTTCAACCTTTTAGAGTAAGAGAAATTAGTATTATAGCAAATGGGCGCTCATATCCCCAGGCACCCTATGATTTGGATTATGGTTCAAATCGATATGTGAGAGCATTTCATGACATGAATGAGGCTATAGGTTTTAATGGCTCTTCAGAGAGCAATGGGATAACATACCAACAATATGGGCGAACCCACTGTATCTATGTCTTCAATCTTACAAATAGTGGTGAGGATAATGGAGGAACATTTGATTTAATAAAAAATGGGTCGACCTCCGTGAATATTAAATTTAGTCAACCTATTCCAGAGGGAGGAGTGATGCTTATAGTTATGGGAGAAGCAGATGCATTAATAATGTTAGACAAAAATCGATCAATAACAAGTGATACTACTATATAAACCTTGAAATTGTTCATTTTCTATTCATTTTAAATAAAAATGTTTTTTAAAAATATTGCAAAAATTTTATTTTTAATTCGACTCTTTGCTCCTTGTGTAGAAGCTTATGATAAAAGCATTGAAAATATTCCAGAATACTCGGAATATTTACGAAAACTGGGTTATCCAATTAAAAATTTTACAGCTGAAAAAATTTCAGCTCCAAGTCTTTTCGGAGACAATTTTCCAACAATTCAACTATGTAAAGAGTCACCACAAGATATATATGGACATATATTTTGTTGGGGAATGATTTGTATGTAC